TGGTTTTCCTAACCTGCTCACCAAAGTTCACTGAATAATGCAAGGCTGTTTGATAAATCCCTCACTCTGCTTTTCAGGGATGAACTGAAGTAGCCTGAAAATTTGGGGCGGCTTTACTTAGTACAAAACACATGCTTAGAAGAGGAGAATGCAGTGGAAAGATGCAAGGCTAGTTTTGTCTGAAATCTAGCTATAGATATTGTTAAAATTTCTGCTCCTGAATTTAAAAATACATCTGTACAAAAATCACCCAGGTTTGCTCTAAGTCTGTGTGGCTTTCTTCCAGCATTGGCGTTGAGGTCAGAGATGACAGGGCCGGAATGTAGTTCATGCATCCAGTGTGGTCGGGCTTTGGTTTTGGCTTGACAGGTTTTTGTTTGCTTGTTTGTTTGGGTTTTCTTTCTTTTGGTTTTGGTTTTACTGTGGTCAAATATACATAACATATTAACCATTTTTAAGCATGCAGTTCTGTGCCATTAAGTAAGTACATTATTGTCCAACCAGCACCACCATCCATTGCCAGAACTTTTTCATCATCTCAAAATGAAACTCTGTACCCATTAAACGGTAACCCTCCCCACTCCCACCCCACCCCTCCTGTGTGTTTAAAGCATGTATTGTACTCTTACGTTACTGTAACCACTATATGTGAGGCTTTAATAAGCACATGTTTTCAGATGCTTTATGCTTTCCACTAAGACATCAGTGTGTTGCCTGGTAACACTGATTGATAGGTAAGCTCTGGCCTATTTGATATTTATCTGTGTGGGCAAAACTGAAATACCTGTCGTTTTAAGATGGAATCACCTCAGAGGCGCTGAGACCTATCACTTGAAAATTACTTTTATGGGCAGGTTTCACCTTAATGAGTAAGGCTCCGCAGCGACTAGGGCCTCTTTGGTACTTAGGTAAACATGTTTGAATTTAAATATACCTGGACGCATGGGTCTCCAAGTGAAATGATGCTCTGCTGGAGTAGGTTCATGTGACTAATGCTTTGAAGGCATAGAAGTTAAGGATGGCTCCCTATTGCTAACAAAAGAAGTCCAAACTATGTCTCACTGTATACATATTGAACATCTCTGTGTTCATAGTGTTAGACGTAACTGAGCTTTTGTTCTTAAGCAATGAGTTAGTCTTCATCTCGGGGATACTGTGAATCATGTAATTGATCACATTTCCTTCTTTGCCTCTGAAGCTAGAGCGCTCAGAGGTGAGTTAATGATTTGCTTTTAGCAGGTAAAGAACCTCATGGCAGGTATTGGGATACTGCCTCATTCCTGGCTTCATTTTGTACTTTGACCCACCACCTGCCTTTGATCTTTGCCCATCCCACCCAGTCAGCTTCATGACTGATTCACAGCTTCATTTCCACCCCGCTGTCCTGTCACCCCTCCTTGCTCGCGTCTTCCACTCCCATCTTACTAAATGCTTCAGTGCTCTCTGCCTTGGGTCGTGCTGTCCCCACTGTTCCTCTGTTGTAACTCTCTTCCGCCCCCAGTTCTTACTCCTTGTCGACTTAACTCAGCTCAGTCGTCAGTCACAATCACCTCCGGACACCTGACCCCTCACTCTGTGAAGTTGGCTGTTCCCTCCTGTGTGGTCCACTGTCCCCATTCAGACTTACGTTACTGCCCCTAGAAAACTTCACTGAACTCTTGTGTTCACAGAACGATCTACTTCTGCTAGTCCACGGGCAGGGACCAAATCTTACTGTTCTTTGAATTCCACCATGACTTGCACAAGATAAATGAGGGGAAGAATGCAAAAGTGTCAGATGTAGTGAAATGAGTCATGATAAAAATGTTTTAAATGGCCATTAGACTTCGCACTGTGGAGGTAATTGTTGACTTTTGTCACAGCCCTTAAGGGGAAGGGTGGGAATAGCTTGATTATATTAGAGGGAAGCAGGCTGGGACCAGGGTAGAGAGTAGGGAGGATGTGGGGGAAAGGGAGAGGTGGAGGAGCAGGGAGAGACAGACTAGAAGAGGGGAGAGTCCAGCTGCTGCTGGGCGGGAGAGGGAGGGGAACCGTAAGAGTCTGCACTGCCACCTGCTAGTGTATCCTCCACGGTGAGCACAGTGGTCCCGTGATTGGGATGAAGGTAGTAGGTCTTCAGCTTGTGTTCAGTAAGTTGAAATTTTGTTTTGAGTGGAGTCTTTGCTTCATAGAAGCTCTTCCTGCCTTACCTTGTTTGGTGTTTATTGTATATCTGCTTTTTGTTAAGAATTTGCTTTTGAGGTGGATATGTCCTTATCTTATGATTGGCGTCCCTTAAATAGCAAACACAGCATCCTGTACAGAGGGATGTTTAATGAATGCTTGAGGTTTTTCGCTTCAGTGCTTTTTGGTTTTTCTTGACATCTAAATTATAAAGTAATAATGCATCTTGAATAATACTAACCAGTACAGAGGAAAGTATTTTGACTCTTTTAAATCTCTTAATTTTTTCATACGAAATAAGTTGGAAAATGTAAAAGTGAAAAACCACCCCATCTGCCGCCCAGGACCACCCTCACCGTCTTTGAGTCAAGTTTTGCTCACGCTGCTCTCTCCAGACAGCTCTTCGCTCATCTGCACCTGAGCACCATTTTCATTGTTCTGAGGTTTACCTGTAGGACCCCTGCAAGCAGATCAGGTAGAGGCTCCCAAAGAAAGAGAACCAAGCATGGTTTTCTTGACATAAGGGAGGTCATTTTTGGCCTAAGCTGTTTTGTGATCTAGGCCTGGTCACAATGCTTGTTGCCCCTAAACTAGGTCTCGGTAATGAATGATCTTAAGGGAACAAAATAATGCAGAAATAAGCAGGACTGTTACCAAAGGTAATAAATTGGTTGTAAAGACTCCCAGTCTGTTCCAATGGTAACGATTAGCCTGCAGCACTTTCTTGACGGGGGTGTGGTAGGCATTTACAGAATTCAAACCCTCTTTGGGCGCTTGACCACCTGATGGTCAGCTGGGACCTAAGGAATGATGATGTTGACCTTTTCTGACCCTCATGACTTCAGTCAACTAAAGCTTGGACTCTTCCAACCTTTGCCCCAATTCTACATTGAATTTTCCTCTGCTCAAAACTCCTTCGTGAATATGCACGTCCCTTTAGCTTCAAACTTCCCTAATTTTGCCTTTCAGGGAGACACTGCTTGGGGGAAGTCCCCGGTGTTCTCCTTACTTGGTGCAAGTAATAAATCCTCCCTTCTCCTGCTCCTTGGCTGGGTTGTGTCTTTCTGCTCAACACCCGCCAAGAGGCAAACCCAGTTTTCAGGTAACACCACCTGTCCTGTGCCCTTTCCTGATATGCATTTGCCTCCCCCCGCAAGTAGCCTGTTCCCCTCTTTGCCTTGCTGAGCCCTCGACTCGCTTCTGTCATTTTACTTCTCTGTTTACCTGAACCAGACTGATCCTTCTTTAAGGTAGAGTGAAATAATTTTTTTTGCTTGTATTTCAGAGTTGTAAAATGGCATTCTGATCTTTTTTGTCTTAGCATTATTTTAAAAGCAGTTTTCTATTTTACGAAATTGTTTTTCTTAGTGTAATTTCAACAGGTATTTATTTCATCTAATGGGTGACCGTTAGCCATTCAGGTTGTCTTCACTTTTTTTCCGTAAAACATTGTCACTGCCTCCCAAAATTGACAGTGAAGAATAAATATTGCTTAAAATTTGTTAAAATATCTGTTTCTCCGCTCTAAGGTATGTGACAGAACAAAGCTGTATTTTCAATTCTGGCAAAGTTGTATTTGCAGAAAATAAAAATAACTTCACTAGTATTGAGTATTTTCTGCAAGTAACGTAACGCCATCCAGAGGATCCAGAGTTCCAGGTGTGCTGTCCAGCCTGCAGTTGGGCTTGTCCAGCAGTGGCTACCAGTCAACCTAATGTGATGAAAATAAGGGTCCGTGATTTGGGCCAAATTATAGAATGCAGTAGGGGGAAGAGAAAATGTTAAAAATTTTTTATTTTCTGAACATTTTAGCTATAATACATACTAAGCAGATGGTCTAAAGATTATTTAAGGAAATGTGCTTGAATATGTGTACGAGTTCTTCCCTAGAGCAGAGGAGAGTTGAGTGTATAGTCACCTGCTTAAGGAAAGTTAGATGTTACCTTGAATTTGCATTTTAATAAAAATTTAGGCACCATTTAAAGTGTTCTGGAGATTGAATGGCTGCTGCTTTGAGCTGAAACAGAGCATTAAACAAGAGTCAGGAAACCCAGCTCACAAACCATGGGACCATCAGCATACTTGTTCACCCCTAGTCCTTCCTCATCATTACCAAAGCACCCTGGAGATGCTGGGAGGAGATGAGGATGTGAGTGTGCCTGAAAACTGTAATGTAGGTAGTGTGCAAAAATAAGTTGTCTTATTACTCCCAAACAAGCAGATGGCTCCAAGCTGAGTACACAGCCAACGGGGAATGTGGCATTTCTACCCTAAAAATGCCTGCCTGATAACTAGATTTTATATGGCCACTTCGGGCTTTAGCTCTTGAGGATTTAAATAATATAATACCAGAAGAAGTGTTTTCTAAAGTATTTAAGAATTACCCTTGCTTTTGTGTCTATAGTATTGGATATAACTTACACTTTTCCCAAGTACAGTCATTGCTGCTTTTTTCTTATACATGAATTTTTAAAGTTGAATGTTTGTTTGTTTGTTTTAAGTTATGCCTAAGATGCTTTGAGAGGGAAGATAAAAACAAATTTGGGGAGGGGAATACTGAGTATAATTTCTTGCAGAATTGGATAATCTTTGGAAGTCTCTCTTAATGTATAAAATCTGTTCAGTTCTAAGTTTATATAATCCTATATCTGTTTCCATTTTAGCCTTATTGGGTACAGGTTCTCTGAAATCCCTTAGAAGGTAGTTAACGATGGATTGTTGAAGGACAAAGTAGGCTGCTTAGGTTTCAAGGCCTGATGCATTAAGGGAGATATCCATTGTTACCGGAGCCTCGCACCAAAGTTCAGTTCATTGACCGTGAACCTGCTCTGCCACAGATTCCGAGTCCGAACGGACCCTGAGTAGATTGGAAGCTGTGACCACACACTCCTTTGAAGAGGAAGGAGAACACCTGAGCAGCGGAAAGCACAGAATGTCCGAAGGAAAAGACTGTGGTGGTGGAGATGCTCTCTCCAATGGCATCAAAAAACACAGGTGGGATAGCCTTTCACAGTGATCGTTGCTGCCTTTTTATTATCACGCACGTTTGGGTTTGTAAAGAAAATATGCCTTCTCTTTGTCTTTGTTTTTTCTCTCTGTTGGCTGTTTTTATTGCTCCGTCACCTCATGGAAAGGATTTGGCTTCAGTACTTTGTCCATTTAAGAGAAGAACATCACCTGTAACTGTAGGAACTAAGCACAGAACTTCGTTTTTAGCAACCGTGGTTTTAGGAGGGCATACATCCTCTAGCTGGTGACTTAAAGAGGCTCTTCAGGACTCCCTAATGAAACTGATGCTGGGTTCCTTTTTTCAGCATGCATCTTTTATGAGTCTGCCTCCCAATGCTATTTTAGTTTCTAGTCATTTGATCTCTGTTGGTTTTATTAAGAATGGATGGTAATATTGCCTGCTGCTTGATATAATTTAGTTACATTTAAACAAAGACTTTTATTAAGACCCAGGGTTTGTTGACCATACCCATTTTATACTGTCTAATAACATTAGTATCTTGTTATTCCCTTGAAGATCTAGTCCTAGAGATTGTCTCAGATTAATGAGACGTAACAGACACTAGAGTTCTCCGGTTTCATACAAGTTTATAGACACCGTGCCATATGTGTGTGCTGGTGTTCATAGAATACTATATTGTATCAAATTATCAATGAAGAATATATCTTGCTGTCATTGTAAACAGTACTTTTGGGATAGAAAGTTATTAACAGTTAATTTCTACAAGGTCGTTATTTTGGTTTAATATTTATAGATATGTGTAGCTCTAACCCCATTTCTGTACCATGATTCTCAACTATTCTACTGGAAAAAAATGTACAAGTCACTTCTGATTTATGTGTATTTGCCCCTTGTCAACAAAAAATGTTTGTTTTTACTTACTTTGAAACGATCAGTGAGTTTTAGGTAGCTAACAGCTAAAACCAGAGTTTTCTTTTGTTCGGTTAGAGGGTATCCTCTGAACGTGCTCATAGATGTTACCTTGTGATGGAGCGTGCTGGTGCAAATGTGTGACCAGCCGTGAGTGCCTTTCCTGACTCACTTCTGTGGTTACTGTCAGCTGCTCTGGGGTCCAGGGCTTTTTTCCACGCAGGCCATATACCTAACAGAAGACCTGGCAGGTCTCCCAGTCTCTAAAGGGAAGACAGCCTTTACCTATTTAACACATACGTCATGACAGTCCAGTGCGAACACACGTGAAATCTTGGGAATGTTCAAAGAAGCATAAAATCATCGAAATAATTAAGATATCAGATGGTGCACTGTGCTTAGAGGTGGTCATATCCCGTGGCTGGAGGGGGAGTTCTCTGCTTTTTGGAGTGGAGAAAGGGTCCAGCGCCCTTTTGTGTATGTGCTGTAATGCATCATAACAGGAGTTATTTTGCATCTGACAAAAAATTATTACTATATTCATATATTCTGTGTTCTCTCTTAATTAGTCAAACCCAGAATTGTACAGATGTGAAGGTTAAGGTGGGATTGTTAAAAAAATGAAATCAGGACAGGTCACTAAGAAATCAACGAGAATAGTGACTTAGCCAGAAAAGTTCAGCTGATAAGTAAGATGTAAACCTGTAAATGTAGTAACATGTTCTTCAGTTATTCAGAGGAAATATTTACTTAATTATCAGCATCAAATACGTGGGAGAACATAACAATTTCTTACTTTTAAAGATAGCTATTGTAAGAGGTTTTTTTTTTAAAATTTTTTCATCATTGAGTCCTTCTCTAATCAAATAAACAGAGCATATGCCACATACAATTTAAAAGTTTCATTTTAGAATGGGAAAATCGGTATTCAGTGTTATAGGATCCCTCTTGCCTGTGCCCTCAATTGCATTGTAAGTAGTCTGTAATTATAATGGGCAGTTATTAATATTAAGAGTAATTTGAGCTAATAGTAATTTTGATGGTATTTTGGAAAAGCAGGTGTATGTTGCAACTGGGGGATTGGCCTAAAGTGACCGTGAAATTTATTTGTAGTCTTCTATTTTATCTTTAAAAGTCTTGTGAAATTTGTGTTTGACCTTGTCATGTTTGCTTTCTTTAATAATATTGATAAATAATTTACTCACCACTGGCTTAAGTTTCCCGTAAAAATCTTGTCTTTTTCCCTCATGGCCATGTCACCACCTGTTCCAGGATATACACACTTAAATTTAGGAAGGGAGATGGGAAGAATTTGGATTATAAAATTTGAAAGAGAGAAATGCGTATTTTAAAATGGAAAAGGAGGTTTACCAATTTTAGTGCCCATGGAAAATGTTAAATCATGACTTAACTAATTTGCCGTTAAGATGGAACTAGGGTTTTCAGCCATTTTGGTTTTTAGCTATGGAACCATTTGTGCAACAGAAGTTCAGTGTGGAAACCATTAAAATCTCGCCCACCCTCCAAGACTGATGAGGCTTCTGTAGAGGGGACCTGTCCCATCTTCTCCCGAGTCTCCCACTGCAGTTGGAATCACCATACCTACTTCGTTTCCTTATCCAGCGAAAACAGTTAAGCTTTACCTTCTCTAGTATGTATTATAGAAACAGCAGGGCCCCCCTCGCCCAGCTGTGACACAGCGAACCGTCCACAGGCTGTTTCTGCTCTTCTTTAATGTGTCCGCACGCCGGGTACCTGGGAGAGTCCCTGCTGCATAGGGAACACCCAGTATAAATGGCCTGTTCTGACTGTGTTTACTCCTTTTCTCCTCAAGAGTGGTGATTCGCTTTGCTCTGAATACAGAACCTCTGGCCTTTTGTTTTCTTTTCCACCCCATTATCGTAGGATGACGTCATGAGGTACAGTTTGAAAAATCTCTGACGCAGAGAATCATACGCTATAAGGCCTATGCCATGTTAATTTAAAGTATGGCAACCTAATTGAGTTTATTTCTGTGATAAGTGAAACATAGATATTATGGCTCTTCAATCTATCCTAGGTGATAATTACAAAGATAATTAGTTTGTTAACAAACTGGGTAATTTAAGTCATCTCTTAAGTACAAATTTGGGCTAACTGAACTGAGTTCCCACTCTGAAAATCTTGTGAAAGCTAACTGAAATCTCGAAAAAAGTGGTTTTTCTACCATACTGAAATTTAGAAAACTTGTTCGGTGTCTCTTAATGATTAGACCTGGGGAAAAGGTATTTTATGTTTTTCATTCACTCTGAATTACTGACATGCTGTGTCCTCTGACGGCCAATAATCTTTGGTGCTGTATGTAGCTTTGGGCTTTTAGGTTAGTTGTAGAGAAGTATCAACAGAAATCAATAGAATTTTATTTAATACCTAGAACCAAAAATACTGCGGAGAGAGAATATACAAAATAAAGACTCCAATGCACTTTTTCCTCCCCCTGGAAAATACATTGAGTTACTCAGTGGAAGATGAGCCTTTACCATGCTAATCAGGTTTGTATTTACAGGGCTTCTTGTCATCTTGGTTGTCTGTGTTCCATGAGGTCAGTTCTCTACTCTTGGACCTAATTTATTACATTTATTCTGAACTCTCATCTTTTAGCTTTTTAGCAGTTTGACCCAAGTTGTTAAGACTGGTAAAGATATTGATGTTTATCTCATCTGGATTTATAATATAAAAGATATGAGTGCAGGACAGGTGAGTCAGAATCTGAAATGTTGGATCCAAGTTGTGATTCTATAAATAGTATTCCTACTATTAATAGATTAAAAGAGAAAATCATATGATCCTTCTAATAAAGAAAAAATAGTGAAATAAAGCAGTCATTCATGATTAATATCTTAGCAAGTCACAAACAGAAGAGAACATCTTGAATCTGGTTGAAAATTGCAACAAATAAATACTTGAGATATTAAAAACTGCTCTTAAATAAGAGCAGGAATAAGACAAGGATGCCTGTCATCGTCTTTTCTGTTCGACATTGTTTGGAGGTCCTAACCAGAGACACAGTGCACTCCAGAATTCAGGAACAAAACTCTAGACATCTGCAGACAAATTATTATAGTTAGTGAGAAAGTGTGGCCAGGTTGCTTTTATACAAAATCAGCTAAGTGCGTTTCCATGTACCTTCAACAGACAGAAACTACAGTTAAAACTGGGGACTGGGGAGATTCAGTAATTATTAAAAAGTCACTTACCTAGGAATAAATCTTAGCCAAAAAAAATGTGTAATATAAAACTTACTGAAAGACATAAAACTTACCAATAAGGAAAAGTCATTGTCTTAAAATATATTTTGCCAACTTGATCTGTAGACTCAATGTATTTTTAATTAAAATTGCAATATCCTTTTCCTTGGAAGTTGGGAAATGCATTCTAAAATACATGTTTAAGCACAGACAGCTTTGGAGAGCCAAGATACCGTTCAGGAAGTTGGTTGGGGGTGGAAAGGGAAGGCATTCGCCCAACCAAACGTCAAGACTGATTACAAATCTTTAGTGCAGAATTGTCCTACAAGCAAGACTGACCTGAAGAATGGAAGTAAAAGGTCCCGAGACCCACACGTACAAGGAAATCTGGTTTGAGTAATCGAGCTAACATAGCAGATCAGCGAGGGAGAGAGTGGATTGTTAGGTAAATGGTGCTGGGACAATCATCTAATACAGAAAAAAAAAATTAAAAAGGAAATGGACCCCTATTTAATATACACAAATACAAATTGTAGATGAATGAAACACAAACCAGTGTGGAAGGGAAAACTTCATAAAACTTCTACAAGAGAATACAAAAAATACCTTTGCAGTTTTAAAATACGGAAGGATTTCGTACAACAGAAATGTGATAGGGACTAAGTTTTTATCTGATTCTAATTAACGTACTTGTTCTTGATGTATTTAGTGGAATAAAACCCTTCGATTCTTTCATGAATGTGGCTAAGAATCTCAAAGGTTTAGTTTACTGAAATCATAGATTAGGGTTCCAGACAGTCTTAGTCTACCCTTTATTTATCCTTCATTTCTGCTTTAGAACTGAATTATTAGGTAACCAGATAACAGCTGTTTTCTGTATATGAAGA